ACACTATTTTGTCAAAGATGCTTAATGAGAATAAAAACAGAATAAGTATACAGAAGGGTGTTGCTAAAAGAAGCAAGTGTCTTTTTTAGGTTTAAGGCATTCTGGGTAAGAGCCAACAAATGGTATTATGAAAGAGTTAATCGTTAAAATTTAATTATGTCATGTTAATTATATTTATATTACTGAAGTGAAAACTTAAGAGTACTAAAGTATATTATCTAGGATTACCTTTCAAGAGCTGCTCTCCGTTTTTCTACAAATTCAGTGGATGATGAATCTTCTTTACCCACTTTGACCTTGGTCATGCCTTTGAAAATTTGAATGCGATTTATCATTTTATATTATTGTGATACAGTCTTCTATAATTATTTCTGCATAAATTAAATTTAAACATGACAAGAATAAAAACTCCTAAAATTTTAACTAGTATCTTACTCAAAAAACAAAACTTTGAAAGGGATTAAATCTCACATAATACCCTAACATCACTACTTGGTAAATAAATGACAGAACAGATAAGCTGTGTTTTTAGTTTCCAGATGCATAACTGTTTATGTAGAAGTTTAAATGAAAAACCAAACCTATTGCCGTTGAGCTGATTTTGACTCACAACAACCCAAGGTAGGCTGTACTCTTTATGGAAGCCAACTGCCATATATTTCTCTTGTGGAGAAACTGGTGGGTTTGAACTGCAAACCACTCGATTACTAGAGGTTATCTATTGTATATTTTACTCTTGGTAAATTAAACTGTTTGTGTACTACAAAATGCATACTGGAATTCCAATAAGTGATTGCAAGTTCAATTAACATCTTCCTTTCTTTTGAGCAATAATTAAGGTTTTCCTTTAATTTGAGGACTTGAATAATAAAAATTAGGATTTGATAAATGCTTTTCCTACTGATGATTTTAAGAACATATTCTTATTAGCTTATTAAAATTGGTGTATTACTGTTAAAATAGCTAGTTTTTTTACAGATCTTTAGAACACAATTTCAAATTTAAAAATACAAATACCACCTCACTCATTATTATAATTCCAATTTTAATACTTATTATTAGACTGCAGATTTTTCTTTTTCTTTTCAAAAATGAATTGTGAAGGAAGTACAGATAAATGTTACAATCTTGAAAACACTATGCTGAGTAAAAAAAGCCTGTCACAAAGGATCACAAATGATACTTCATTTATATAAAATGCCTGTAATAGGCAAATCTAAAGGAGCTCTGGTAATGTAGTGGTTACGAATCAGGTTGCGACCCTCAAGGTCAGCAGCTTGAAACTACCAGCTGTTCTGTGGGAGAAAGATGAGGCTTTGTGATCCCATAAAGATCTGCAGCCTCAGAAACCCTGTAAAGGGTCGCTATGAGTCAGAACCAACTCCACGGCACAGAACAACAACAATAGGCAAATCTAGAGACAGAAAATAGAATAGTGGTTGCCTAGGACTAGAAAGTTTACAGAGATTAGGGGGAGTGGAGGAAATGGGATGGATGATAGCTAAGGGGTACTGGATTTCTTTTCTGAGGTAATTAAAATGTTCAATTGTGATGAATGCAGAACTCTATGAATATAATAAAAGCCATTTTGCAATTTAAATGAGAAACTGTATGGGTGACATATTTCAATAAAGCTGTTTAAAAATTGGTATGAAATCAAATGTAAAACTATG